GAGTCTCTCCCATTTCCTATCATCTTTCTTTATTTTGCTCCTGAAATTATGTTTTGAGGTTTTCATGTAAGGGAAACCATGCAACATTTAACCTTCTGTGTCAGATTTATTTCCCTAGCATTATTAGTGAATATCATCAAACTATCAGAGATTCCAGGGCTCAGCATATTAATAGAAAAGATACTTCATTTGCTAAGTTAAACAACAAACTAACCCCACCAGCATTGTGTCTGTCATCTACCTGATCAACCCTTTACTATAACTGATTAGCACTTACTACTGTCTCTCCTTTAAGAAGAGCAGAAATACAAAATCTTGAGCGCCTCACAACAATGTAATTAATAAACTTATTTGGGTATTTCTCAAAGTCTGTGGTACTGTCTGAATGAAGTTTGTGCCCTCAGTTCATATGTTTTAATTACTAATCCTCAAAGTTATGGTATGTGGAGATGGAGCCCCTGAGAGATAATTAAGTCACCTGAGTAAAGACCCAAAGAACACAGTCTGTCCCATCATAAGATGATCCTCCTCTACCATGTAGGCATTTAGCAAAAAGGAGCCCATCTATGTCCTTGAAGAGGAGCCTCCCCATGAATAGCCAGCAACTTGATCTTGAATTTACCTGCTTCTAGCACTGTAAAAAATAATGTTGCTTACATTGTTCAGTTCATACTATTTGCTTTAAGAGCCCCAGATTTGGTGTGACATAGGTCTGTGCTGGCCAGATGAAGAGGCATGTGGGCTGTTTGGGGGGAAAGAAGAAGAAATATGGAAGAATTTGTGTTCGTGGGTGTTGTAACTTGGTCTTAGTAGGTGAATAGTAAATCATGGATGCATAAGTTCTTAGATTTGGATATAACAACCCCTGCCTCTAAGAATGAGGAAATGAGCAGAGTAGGCAGATAAAGTGAATTGCTTATGATGATGAAGAAGATGATGACAGGCAGAAGGTACAATTAGAATCACATATGTATTTTGAATGTTTAGGAGAAGTTAATTGAGCTATGATAGAGTTTTATGTCCTTTCTTATTTGATATTTAACTAAAATTTATATTTATGGCCAGTGGCAAAATATCTAAAGTAGGATGGTCTAATCTGACTTGTCAGAAAGTCATAGAAATCAGCTAAACATTGGAGAGAATAATGAAACTCTGGGACAAAATTAAGATCTTATTAAAGTTCAAACCCCAAGTTCAATGTGTTTTTTCCACCACCGGCAGCATTCTGTCATTGATTGTGTCATGACCATCCATGACTTTTATTATTAATGGAATAAATGAAATGGGGACAGGGATATAGGAAAGCAGCGCAGTACAATGACATCTCTATTGGGTTCTGGATTCAATCAGGGGAAAACAGGAAGGGCAATTGAGGAAAATGGGCCATCGTAAGATATCTTCCTCAAGAGGCAGGATGATTTATATCCCACTCAAGTTGGAAAGTTTTACCACCACGTCAAAATGTTCTGGTTACAGGTAACAAAAAAGAAAATTGAACTAGGGTTAGGAAAAAAGTAATGTTGAGAATTAAGTCACAGGCAGAGCTGAATACTCATCAGAACTATCTGGGTTTTTGCTCCTTGGGAATGCCAGCTTCATTCTTTGTCATTGCAGGGTGGTCATTCCTACTCAGAAGGAAACCTACACAGGCCAGTCTGACAATTTAGATCTACGAGTGGAGGACTTAATGTGAACCTTTCCTTTTTCAGGAGAAAAAGTCCCAGGGACAGGACTTGTTGGGCATGACCATCTCTCACCCAGTCAGTGGTGACCAAGGCATTTCTATCCAAGTTGGTGTTTTGAGTGGCCCCATTTAGAAACAAGGAATGAAGGTTGTAACATGTAGCTGTATCCAAATTATAAATGAAGAACTCACGAAAAGGCAGTTTCTAGCGGAAGGCTCTCGGCATAGAATTCCAGGTGTTCACCTGTGCCCAGTAGCGTGTCAGGTTACTCAGATTTTGTGAAGGAGGGATACAAGTAATAGTAATCCATTTTAGTTAGCTCAGCTGATGATTATAATCAAGATATGTGAGAAAGTGAGAAAACAGAGAGATCCATCTCAGCCTCTGCCATCGTTAGGATTCTTTCCCACATCAGATTGAAAATGACAACCCTTTCTTATGACAACTCAGTTGAATGTGGAAGCTGATGAGTGTAGACAGGAAAACCTAGTCTTTGACTCTAGGTGATGGCTTCTAATTTCTCATCCTTCTGACTTGGCAGGAATACCTTGGCAGGTTACCACCTTTCTGTCTACAGCTCTAGGCCTCATTATTTGAGCTAGAATCTGAGTAGGTAGACCAGCCTTCACTGAACATGGGATATTTTTGTTGGAGCTTGGATGTAAATTCCTCTCATAGGCTACTGATCAGATGCTCACCTTTGGCCAGATACTAATCATTGTTACATTCAGTAAGAGCCAGGAGAATGGGGGATCAAGGCAGAATGAACTGAGATGTATGAACAAATTCTGTGTGTTGGGTAATTTAACTGGTAGAAACCAGTGAAGTTTATGGGCTGTCCACTGTCTACAAAAATATAGACTATGTGGTTTCTTTAAACCAACAAATATTCATTGAAAATCCTCTTTTTGATAAGAATTGTTCTACAAAATACAGGTGAGTCTAGAGTATATATAGAGTTCCTGTAAAACTGATGTAAAACTGATGCAAATGCAAGAATAATCACAATGGGCAGAACTAGAAAATAATCTAAAATATTCAGGCCATTTAATATTTTCCTTGAAATTGAATTGAAAACACAGTTCACTTCTTCACGTCTTGTAAAAGAATTGGTGCAAGAAGCTAAACTTTTGTAAAACAGAGACATACTCTTCCATTAAAAACATTTATTACTTGTATCTTTATTGTAGGGTCAGAGCATAAATTTCAAAACAAAATTTTTGTGGAAGAGGAGTGCCTGAGAGTCATCATAAGAATCTGAAGAAAACAAGAGAAAAGACTGAATGAAAGAAAAGAAAATAGAGGGGGAGAGTGAGAAAAGGTAGGAGCAGATAATCTCCAAGAGCTGCGTGCACGGTTCTGCGGCATTCAGTGCCATTCTGGTTAGCTCTCCATCACGGGCTCTGGGCTGAGTTTCTCCCTGCCCCAGGCTGCTGCTGGTAAAACAGCACATTCAGCTGGCGTGGCCTCTTCCCTGGGCCTGCGACTGAGCCTGCCAAAAGTCTAAGAAAAGGAAGGCTTCGGGCCCCAGGCCTTTGCTGTTCCTATTTGTTCATAGCTCCATGGAACTTCTGAAAGGACAGGATCGTAAAGAAAACATGTGGGAGACGAGGGAAGGGAGAGGTCTAAAATGATGATTGAGAGGCAGGATGGTTTGATTTTTATGTTCCCCCGATACTTTTTATTTATACATTTGCTGCTTCCAGAGAAGCCAAATATAAGAATTCATATAGAGAAATGCCTGTGTAAATAGCAAAACAATAACCTACTACCCTCAGAAGATTCGGGTCCGAGTACGTTTTCAGAGCTCTAAAAAGGATCTTTAGACTGAGATGACCGGGTCCCAGGACACCTTCGATTCAGAACAGAGTCTCCCATGGCTAACAATGAACTGCGCAATAAGAAGCAAAACCCTGCAGAAAGGAACAAGAAATAGGGTGTTAAGTTGGTTCCAGTATAAAATAAGCCTAATGCTTGATGTTGTTTATGTTCTGACAGGGCCTCCTTAAATTCTTTCACATTCAACAGTTCCAGCTTGATACAGTGTGCATAAAATCTAAAACTCAAAGGTCAGGGTTCTACAAGTGTGGGTTTTTAGGATGGCCCAGTGTCTGTCCCTTTGGAGAGGGTGGGCATAGTGGCACAAAAGGTGTGACTGGGGAAGGGAAATGATCACACTGTGGGGACTATACTCACCTTGCAGTACTTCACAAGTGTGGAGCAGGGGGATAAGACCCCGAAAGACATTCTGCTTGAAGCAATGTTGACTTTCCTGTTCCTAGGGCAAGCCCTGTCTGTGAAGGAGCACTATGCCACAGCAGAGAAAAATAGTGCACGCGCGTGTACTTGTGTTTGTGTGTGTGTGTGTGTG